TACCTTTAGCTTAATACTAATAATATTATTATTATAAATTAAAAGGGAAACGAGATTATTAAACGTTTTTTAAAGTAATAAAATAAATTATTACCTAATATATTATTAAATTAGATTCTTATTAGTATTAACTCTCTTAAAGAAGCTAAAGGTATATTATTTATTAATAAAATTTAAGCTTATTTTTACGTGAAATACGCTCTTTAAATTCTTTAAGTCTTTAAGCTATTTTAACTTAAAGATTACCGCGTAAAGAAATAATTAATACACTATAATTAAGTTTTAATTTTATATATATATAAATAATAGGCTATTTTATATTAAGCGCTTATTAATAAAATTACTTTATAAGAACTGCCTCTTAGTTTAATTAAAGTTTATACTATTAATAACTTAGCTAGTTCTTAATTTAAATATATTATTACTACTCTAGTTTATAGTAGTAAACTAGGTTTTATTAGGGAATTTAAGAGATTAAATATTACTTTATCTCGCGTTATACTAGGTTAAATAATTGTTATAAATAATAAATTTCTCGCTAAGTAAAATAGTAATCCTAGTAAGCTATAATAATATTATAAGAAAACTAAATTATATAAAGACTTAACACTTAATAATAAGTTTTACTATAATTATTTATAGTTTAACTATTATAAAGCTTAGTGCCTTATTAATCTTATTTATTATAAATGTAAGAGATAATAAAAGAATAAACGCTATATTAAATACTCTATTAAAAACTATTGAAATACTTATACGTATAATTATTTAATAAATAATATTAGTTTTAACTATATTTCTAATAATATTATTTATAACCTCTTCTTTTTAGTTAAAGGTATTAATATTATAAAGCCTTAGCCTAATAAGAAATAAAAAGCTTAAAGAAAACGCGTACCCCCTTTAATAAGCGAATAAGCTTAACGCGTAAAATAGCTTCTATAAGCTACTAGCTTTACTACTAATAAACTAAAGAGAGTACCTTATAATAATAACGCTTAAAATATAACTATTAATGCTAACGCTATAGTAGTTCGTAATAGTATTACGTGAAATAATACTACTAATAATATACCTACTATTAATAATAATACTTAGGCTAGTACTACTACTACTTAAGATAACAAGAATAATAATGCTTAGGCTAATACTACTATTACTTAAAATAGCGAGGATAATAATGCTTAGGCTAATACTATTATCACTTAAGATAGTAAGGATAATAATACTTAAGCTAGTACTATTATTACTTAAGATAGCGAAAATAGTAATACTTAAGCTAATATTAATAATAATAGTATTAAGTTTACTAGCTAATAAGTAAATAAAATAAAAGATTAAAATAAGAAATTAGCTTTAATTTTACTTTAATTACGTGTATTATATATTTTTAATAGCTCTTAGCCTTTATATAAATTAAACTAATAAAGAAGGTAATTAAGTAATATAGAATTATTATATACTTTAATAAATAAGAGATTTAATAGTTTTTTCTTTTTTTCTTTCTTATTATCTTAATAATAAGACTATTATCTTTTTTTAAATAAGGGGATATTAGGGCCTACATAGTCACGTGTGAGGCACTAGGTTATTATTACTACGCTACCACTCTTTAGCTAGCTCTTCTTCTTCTTCTTCTACATAATTAACTTCTTCACTTCTTTTAGCTCTCTTACAATACAACTTGTCAGTTGCATCACGAGCTCTTGTGACCTCGCTATAGCTCCCTTCCGTGAGCCCTCACACCTTCATCCCTCGAAGTGCCACCTCCGAGTCCTGCGGCTCGTGTGACTCGGAAGCTCAGATGGCGCTGTAGACGTGAAGCCACTTGCGACCAGAGAAAGTACGTGGCCGTTAGCAGATGCAGAAGCACGCGAACAAACATGCTATATGCCGGACTATGCGACCGGGCCAGATTCGCAGCGAGGATCGGCCTTGGTAGCGATAAAGGCATTGCGAGGTGGTGGTGCCGTCTGGTCGGCAATTACGGACCGAGCTAAAGTGGATTCAGTTCTTAAGGCCGCAATATTAAGCAGCAGCAAGGAATGGTCGATGAGATGCTTGCTCCTGAGAAGCAAAGATAATTCTGCTCTGTATTACAGACCAAGCCGGTTGAGGTCTCTTTCGCGGGGTGTGACGAGGTTAAACCAGACAAGAGAACATTCGCCACACGGAAGCGACATATCCTGTCATGGGCCTGCCAGCTACACTACCAAAAGTGAAGGACTCTCCTGGTAGTGTATGCTCGCTATCGTGCCTCATATATCACATATCCCTCCGAAGACGGTCAATATATCCTGACACAGCCGGAACCGGCTGAATCAGCACAAAGGATGCATCGCGAGGGATCACAAAGAGGTTAGGAGGGCAGACCAGGCTCCTAGAGCGAAAGGCCAAGCCAGCTAGGACCCGGATGCCTCAGTTATCCAGGTCGGGTTACACACACCTAGAATATCGTATATATATACAAGTTAGAGGTCAGATCCCTAGATTGATTGAACCAAGGACCTCTGAGCCCAAAGATAATTATGAGATTAAATTTAAAGCTATTCACAAGCCCTACATGGATCGCTTGTCACTACATTAAAGCAAGTTGGCCACGCGTAGGTGGAGGGTGAAGCCACATGGCCAAGGCTGAGCTGACCAACGCATGTGCAGGGCCGAGCTTCAAGCGATCCAATGACCTCCATGGCCGTCAATTTGGTGTAATATTACAGAGATGAATTTTAATTGTGGCTGCATAATTGCTCGGTTTACTCCCTAGCTACTACCAACCAGATCGGTGGGTAGTTTTTGCTGATAGATATCAGCACTAGAAGCCCATCGGAAACAAGTCCCAACAATTTGCCTACAGACGTCATTGCAGCCTTGAATACTCTGAAGGGAATGGATGATGCCTTGGTACCCAACCTGCCTGCGCGCGAGCGGGAGGGGGATCTACAGCAAAGTCCTGGTGCTGAAGAGCCTGCTAACGATGCTGATACAATCTTGATATGGTCCTATGCACTTCACTGTGTGTATGGAAAGGCTAGATGCAAAGGCAAGGGCTAGCGAGATCATACTGTGTTCAGAAGGTCTTGACTATGCTGAGAAATAGGCTGGAGGAAAAAGGTGCCGATGGGTTTTCATCCGCACGAGGCAGGGTCCTCATTACGCCACCACCCTCAACAGTCTGCAGACAGTTGGATAAACTATAAAAGGCAAGCGACAAAACCAGAGAGATTCATTTAGTAGCTTCATATACATTCATGTGCCGATACGCTAATCTCCGCTATATACGAGTCGGGAGACTTGATCCACTCCACCGGGCTTTCCTATTGATAAGACAAGGAAGGATTCATCAACTCCTCATTGACCGACCTTGAGTGAATACTGGCATCGTGACCAAGGCATCCATATATCAGACCAACACCAAATAAAGACCCAATTTTGTCAGTCCTTCACACTAGCTACAGTCAAAAGTCAGACATTTGGTTGAGTGGAAATGGATCACTGCACGTCGGGTCAATGTATGCCGAGAGAAACAGCGAAGAAATCGAGCCGTTGACAGCATCATAGTCAGTCGACGGTCCCATCATGCCGCCATCAGCGGCAAGCAGGTTTCTTGTATTGGCGGGAATAGTACTTGTGTCCTGCACAGGCCGTCCCTCGGGTCGGATCGTGCTGGTTTGCCTCGCCGCGACTTTGAGATGCCGATACGCTTCTTGAGCCAAGTGCCACTTTGTCCTCAGTATGTTGAGATTGCCAAGCGCAAGCACAACTCTGTTGAGATGATGGTCCGAGCATTCCGATGAATGGGCTTCGCTGGCGGCGAGTTGCACCAACCCGCAGAAAATTGTGCCAAAGACGACAAAAGGGCTGTAGCCCTGCGGGACGCAGTGCACGGACAGTAGGTTGGACAACTCCTTGGAGGCGCCAATGGTCTTGACATCGTGGACATTGCGTGTCAAGGACGGCGAGAGGCGGACCGGCGTCACGGGACAGATGGTCATGGATTGCTCTGGAAACCTGGGCCGGAGGTTGCTGCGAGGGAGGTGGAGGAGCATGGCTGCGTAGTGGATGATGAACTGCGCCTGGAACAACATTTCGTCGATGCCGCCGTAGATGTCCACAATGTCGATTTTCTGAGGAGGTAGTGGGTGTGCCCAGCTGACGAGCGTGTTGGCGATGGCTTGTAAGCGGTCTGGATGGGTCTCGGGGATGCTGTTGAGCACCAGCACGCGCGCGAGTATATGAAAGGCTTCGATACGATAGCTGAAGGAGGAGTATTGACAAGGCTCTGGTTCCTCGTCGTCGTCTGCAAACACCCTCGCTCTGAATGCGGCCAGGGACGTGGGCTGCGGGATGGCCTGGAGTGACGCGTATGTAGACTCCTCGCAGGGAAGTAGAACCTCGTTGGGAACATCGCTGCATCGGAAGTGAAATTTCTGCTGTAGTGTGCGCATGCAGATTTCCCAGATGAAGAGTTCCCACCAGGTCCGCCGCAGGCTCTCGGACTCGAATTCGTCGTTGTTGGCAAACAGAGTCGCAAAGTCCTTTTGGTACATGCCAATCTCTATCGCGATGGAAATCGCCTGGGCCAGAGATGTCTCGGCTCGCGGACGCTCGTTGCGAGCGCACAACATAATGGAATGAAGAAGCAGGGCCTGGACCATGCTGGATGACTTTTCCGCAGAGTTGGCGGACAGGGTAGAAGCTGTAGCGTCATAAAACTCATCGCCGGATAGCACCATGGAATAATGACTTCCTATGAATTTGACGACTTGCTGCAAATACGCAGGTTAATTCCGCCTCTCGTACTGACCTGGAGGTACAAGTATGGGATGTGCTTGATGAAGGTTCTCGTAGAAAAGGCGAACTAATCGAACCTCGGGAACATAAGGCTCGGGCTTTCTCTCGCGAGGCGTCGGCGCATTGCTTGACGGAGGAACATCATGTGTAGATGGTTGGGGGATTTCCCCTGGTCCAGTTGGGAGGTGGTGATGGGGCCGGTGAGGCTCATGCAGTTGCAACTGCAGGCCCGGAGCTGTCTTTGTACTGCTGATGGTATCTTGGGACTGGCCGTGACTATTCACGGCTTTTCGCTTTCCACCTCTGCGCGAGGGAAGATACGTGCATGAGGGTTGAGTAGTTGCGCAACGCGAGCAGCACGGTCTTTTTGCGTCACACTTGAGATGGTGACGTCGACACTCGGTACACGCGAGCGCGGAGGGGCGCATTTCCGCAAAGAAGGCTGGTTGTCAAGGCATTCAAGGCAATGAATGAATGTGTCAACATGGAGTGAGTGGTTCAATGTTGTCGGTTGTCGGTTGTCGGTGTGTCGGTCAGTGACTATCGTGGCGCTCGGCAACTCGGGAAGCCACGCGGTTGAGTGGAGTTGACATGATTGACGGGATGAGATTGTCCAATAGGGTGTCAGCATCTTCGGACAGTAAAACTCAATCGGGCGACCGAAATGCCGACGGATCGGCTCATCGGCGACTATTCAAGCATAGAACACAAGAATGCGCCACAGCCGGACTGCACTGGTACCGCGCGAATCGCAAGAATTATACAGACTCCGCTACGAAGCCAAACACTACATTTGAATTATGGCATTAACTTCCAACTCTCTTCTTAGGCGGCAGGTGATGCAATGCCTGCCGAGAGCCTCCCAGACGCTGCGCCCCCTTGCTGGCATCTCCAAATCTCAGAGCTTTCCACAATTCCGGTCAACATCAGGCTAGAAACATAACTTCATATGATTCGCTATCCTTCGAAAGATCTCAAGCACGCCGTTTTGCTGTGGCATCCAAAGGCACTCAGCACTGGGCCGAGTTGCGTCCCGCTGTCCCTACAGCTTCTTATCCAGCGCAGGTGCGACAATTTTCTGCTGCGCATCCTGCAGAGACTACGCCCACAACAGATCCGAGTTCTCGGCCTATTACTCATGATGTATTTGAAGAGAAAACAGGCACCTGGCAGTATGTAGTCGCTGATCCAAGCACTCTGACGGCTACTATTATCGATTCGGTGCTGGAGTACGACCCTCTAACACGAACCATGTCTACCCATTCAGCCGATAAGATACTTTCGTTGATCAAAACAATGGGCTACAGGGTGGATATTATTTTGGAGACGCATATCCATGCAGATCATTTGACAGCAGCCCGTTATCTCCAGACCTCTCTTCACAAAGAGCAGGGGTATCTGCCTCTAATCACTGTGGGCAAACGGATCGTACATATCCAAGAGCTATTCCGTCGAAAGTACGGTCTATCGGAGGAAGAAATCCAGGTGTTTTTGACAGATTCCTCGACGATGATGAAAAATTCCGCATTGGCGCCTTGGAGGCCCAAGCAATCCATCTTCCGGGCCACACGCTAGACCACATGGGATTCAAAATAGGAGGTAAGCGTCTACATCTCATGCTTTGAGCAGCTTTTGCTCAAAGAAGGCTTCTACTCACCATACACTACAAAGCCTCCGTGCAGAGTTGTACGTAGTAGGTAGTTGGGCATCCTTGGATATCTCACCACAAAAAATACTTGGCAAGTTCACCAGTTAATACAAATGTGTCTCCTTTTGAAAATGACCGTGCTGTGGATTGAAGCATTTAAACATTCCTGTAAGATGTTACCCAGCAGGAGTAGTGCTATCCAGGCAGCAACCAAAATCGTGCGCCCACACGCACACCGTCACCCACGTGGAGTAACAAGTGTATCGCATAAACACAAAAAAATAAAAGACATAAGCAATAGAATCTATATACAAGAGAGAAAATTATTGAAAAAAAAAAATTCTCTCCCTTCCCGTGAACTATTATGAACGTCAACTGGTAGAAGTCAGCCACCAGACGTGCCGAGTACGTCTGGTAGCACCAGCATTGACGTCAATGCTTGGTGGTGGAAATTTGCGCTGTAGATTGATTTGGTGGAGCACCGACTGCGCTGGCAAGTGCTGTCGCCTAGCAATGCTTTGCAGTGCCGCGTGGCTCCTTTTTCGTCTGGTGTCTGGTTACTAAATCTGGCCAGAGTAAGTTGTCCAGGTGTGTTGTAGCCACAGCCAGCCGGTGCATTTCAATGTAGAGCCGTGTACTAAGTAGATAGCTAGCAAATTGAGGGCAGCGCTACTATATCAGCCCATGCCCTGAAACCCTGAAATCGGACGAACCAGTCGACATTTGAAGCATGAGTACGGAGTACAGTGGGTTCGCAGTAATTCCGAAAAACGCCCACTTTTACACTAAAACTTACACTTTTTAGAAGCTTATAACTCTATTACATAATACATTATATATATAAATAATATTTAAGTATTCAATTAATAAATAATGATTTTAAGATAAAAAAAACTTTTACTCTCGCTCTCGCACCGCGACGCTAGCTTAAAATCGCCTCTAAAATAAAAAATAACCTAAGATTTAAATTTCTTACACTTAATTACCTCTTATTATAATACTATATTAAGGCTATAATAGGGGCGGTGTAAAGGATATAATGCTAATAGTAATAAATAAAGGAGAAAGGGGGCTTATATAAAGCTATTACCACTTAAACGTAAGTAAAGAATAGTTTATAAAACAGGTATTACGTAACCTTAAGTTAAATGTAATTTAAGATAAACTTAATAATAAAAAACGCGTTATTTATAATAAACTAGTTAATCTTATTCTAATAGCTTTATTAAAGCGTGTATAAAAACTATTTAAGAAGTATATTACCTAGAAAGTAATATAATACTATATTAAAGTTATAGCTATTACTAATAACACCTTCATTATAAAAGCGTAGCTTTATAATACGATTATAGCTATAATATAAGAAGCACTTTACAATACTACCTAATAAAAAACCTAGGTAAGCGTTACAGCTAGCCTAGTTAAGGCGTAAACCTAAAAACCTCCCCTCTTAGCTATTCTTAACCGCTAGTATTATGAAATTATTATTAAAGGTATTATAATTATTAAAGCACTTTAAAACTAAACCGCTAAAGACACGGTAAAGGCCGTAAACTAAGCCCTAGAAAGCAACGCAGTAGTAGCCACGCGCAGGCTGCCTAGCGGAGACATAGTTATTACATTCTGTAAGATTATAAGAGGGACTGAAAGTTAGGTAGCTAAAGTAAGGGTAGC